TCCTCGGTCTGAACGCTTTGTGAGCGTTGGGCACGCACCTCTCGCAGATACTGTTTAAAATCTGGTTTAAGGCCACGTTTCAAAGCACTGAAAAAATTCATGATCAGTTTTCAGCTCAGTCAGGTTTTCGTTGTGCGAATTTTGCAGACGGACCTATAGTTTCAAAAGGATGTTACGAATATGGCGATTGCTGCTAACCCATACAAAATTTCGATCATAATAAGAGTTCCAGAACGTCCAACCCCGGCTGAACAATGAACAACGGTTGGATATTTTGGGTGTTTGCGAGCATGACGTAACAGATAGAATGGTGTTAATGAGCTTCTCGGTACAGTTCTATCTGGCCATGTTGTCCACTGACGGTGCTGAACGCGACGACTCTCTTTTCCATCTGAATTTGATAACAGTTCATTTGAGAGCAGACCTGGTTACAGTCAACTAAAAATTCATCGGAAAACTTCACTCGATAACTTTTGTTGCGTTTTTACATGATTTCTCACAGGATTTGCCTTGCGCTAACATTATATAATTCCTGGCCTCATTATGGCTCCGAGCAGTTTCATGTCATGCAATTTTAAGTAATCTGGCATATGATCTTATCACGCACGATCTCTAATATGCTCGTTGTGTGATCTGAACCGATTAATCTGAACTCTTAAAGTAACCAGATAGTTGGGAAATATTTTGATAAATGCAAACAGAATAGGAAGTATTTCGTAAGAACGAACGCTGAATTTCGATTTTTGTTTGTATATAATCTGGATCCTTTCTGCACACGACGATTGCCGATAAAGTCAGCCGAGCAACGGTCATCTTGTCGCCAACCTCTTTTGGCCAATACTGGTAACATTTTTCTTTATTATTTTCTTTCACTTGACATAACATTATTATTTCTTTAACGCGTTCTTGCCATATCATTCGCCAAAAGTCAACAACTGTTTTCTTGGTTGGTCCCTAAATACACCAAATTATCGGCAAAAAGGGTCGATTGGACACATCCTTGTTACATCTCTCGTTAAAAATACATCCTTGACACTATACACAGCCAGAATTATTCCCAGGCAAGTATTAGACATCAAAGAAATCCAACACGGAGATGACATTCAAGAAAAAAGAGCTGCCAGTATTAGTTACATCGATCCTNTTTGAGCAAAAGACGGTAATTGGAGTAGCGCTCATGACTGAATCTTGTGCGAATTTGTTTTTGAATCTCCAAAATTTAAACTTCGCTTCAACATGTCGCCATATCTGAACTTACTTGACAGCAAATGAAAACGTTCTCGAGATTACTGTGCTTAACCCAATTTGCGTGGATGAAATCATTCGGGTTATTGTGCGGCCATTTCAACACGATTCTTGTTTGATCCCAACATTTAACATCTTCAAAGTCAACAACGATTGGAATATTATTGCAGCAGAACCGGATTGCTTCAACACGCCCAAGACAATTGTTTTATTGTCGTCATATTTGCTTCCATGTGATGTTATTCTCTGTCAGTTACTTCCAAGGCATTGAATTGTACCTATTAGTCGAACTAAATGAGTATCAGAGTCTAGTCCTACTTGACTAAATATCTTTAATGTCTGAATTGGGCAAAGCTCCGCATTGCTCAGAAGAAGCTCACAATTCTTTTGGAAGAGATTCTCCCAAGGAAATAGTTGTATGTAACAAGATATTCAAATAAATTCCGCGTCTTCATCAAGAATACCATGAGAACACAGGAATTTGATCATTCTTCACTAATCTATAGGTCAACAAACTTCATATATCACTAATAGAACTCAGTGAGAAATGGCAATTGCTCAATTCTCAAAAAAAAAGAAACTCCATTTTCTCGCTTATCAAGGAGAAGGTGGCATCTGCGTTAGTAGGGAAGCTTGGAAAGTACCATATATCAGGATCATAAGTACTAACTTGCAATTATCCTTC